CACCAGCGTTTCCATTGTTAGCACCCACATACGCCGGTCTCGGACCGTTCGTACCCTGAAACAGGTAAGGAACAGGTTCATTATATATTTATTATTTCGATCCTTTCCGCCTAGGGAATTTCGTTTATCGATTGTGACCGCTATTTTGCGAGCTATCGAAGCAAGATTGTTTGACTTGTCTCGACGAGGAGCGTCTATGCGGCACGAGGCCATGAGATACTTCACCTTGTGCGGTCCGCGCATCACACGCAATAGAAGAAAAGTAATATTTTATAATTAAAAAGAAACAGATGTAAACGCATTTACGATATAAGTAGTTATTTATATTTAGACGAAAAGGCGATTCTGTGAGGAAATATGGGGTTATCTATACTTAACCTTAATTTAATTAGGTACATGCTTGGGCGGTGTGCTTATGATCTTAAAAGGTTATGTTATTTTTTATATATATTGAATTTTTACAAATTTCAGGTTCTTCCCTGAAACAATGTTGATAATGGCCTAAGTATATACCAATGAGTCACAGGGGAAAGGTTCAGTGACATCGATATTGACAAACGTATTAGTGACAATGGCCATCCCCTTCTTATTTCTCGCGGAAGGAAGATGTATCTGGTTACACCGGATTCGATCACACTTACGACGCCGCACGCGAATCTTTTTAGGTACAGTCTGCCTCTAAATTTAGCCCCGCGGCACGAGAATACGGAATGTACAATCGCAATTGAAGGCGATGTCACGCGACTGTAACATTTTCCAACGTGACAAAATGCAGCGAGATCGTGATCGTTGAGAGACGATTCGCATCGAATGGAATATCCACGAGTCACCCAAGGAGATAAACCGCTCTCAACAAGATTAATATTGCTTTGAATACTTCTGATATGTAGGAAGAATGGTTCGTTGTAAAATTAGAGAGAGAAAAAATATCTCTCGTGATTCTTTTCAAAATTCGTGTTGTAACGATAATAATTATTATTCACGGTTGAAACAGAACTAAAGCTCGTTCTGTCAACCTTTTTATCGTAACTGCTTTTACGTTAATTTCCCCTCAACCGTTTCAGAATAAAGATCATTGCATTACTCTCGCAAACGATTCTGCGTGGAAACGTGCACAGACACACACACACACACAAAAGGAGGACCTGAGGTAACGGACAACAGACTCAGCTGCTACACTATGCCATCCTAATTAGAGTCATTTGCACAGCAAATTCGTGTCAGTTAATGTCTTTAGCAAACACATTACAGCTACTCTTGTAAGTCCACGTACCAGCAGTAAGCACAATCGGTTGGTCTGTTGCCAGATAAATTTGTTCACAAATAGGCCTTAATTGCAACGTACGGGTTCGGAACGTATTATACACACAGCGAGAAACGCGAAGGTTGCTCTCGAGATATGTCCAGTTGAAACAACGAGCGAACCCAAAGATCTGCCTTATCCTTTACTGTACTTGTTACACACCAAAACGATTTTTCTCGTTCTGTGAAATCGTCATGAAACATCTTTATTATTACGCCATTATTTTAATAACGAACTTCGACGTCTTTTAACCATCTGGCGTTTTAAGATTTCTCAATTGGTGCATCTTACTACTGGTGGCTTTACGAGCATCATCGCACGAACACGCGTCTTGTGTTTATGAAAAATTTAAAAGGAAAGTTAGAACGTCGGAGGTTTCTGCGATTTGATTAGATGTTCTTTATGTAATATATCGTTATGTATTTGTCGAATATATCAAATCGTCAGTTTCTAGCCGCAATTAGTCTCAATTAACGCGCAAACGATGTCCTTGGTGTAGCGAAACTGACTGACGCTAATACGCGAACATTATTACTATTCAACACCGGTTGCAATTTTCGCACAGAAATCGTATCAACCGTGTATTTCGGTATTCTCGGTTTAATCTTTATTGCCCAATTGCTTATTAGATAGCTTCATTCTGTCTGTAACTTATCTATGTTTGAAAATGTCGCGTCATATCTGACACTGAACTTCAAACGAAATTCATTGTTTCTAGGCCGATTTAAAATTCGCCATCGTATTTTCTTATTAAAAATTACACCTCGATCATATCGTCACGTCTTCGCGAGATAAAGAATACAAGACGATATCTTAAAAAATCATTTCTAAAATGATCATACCATTGTGGAACAATTTTTTTCCTCTTTAATTAACCCGATCAGATTAATAAAATGCTCATGAAAAACGCAGGTTCGGTTATTACATACGCGTAGGTTTCTTCGAGCAATATCTGTCCCGAGAGATTCGACATTATCGGTCATTTCTTTTTTTCCATCAAGTTATCATTCAAGATATATAGTCACGTAGAAAGAAATTATAACACACGTATACATACAAATAGTGCGTTTATCAGTCGAGCTTGACCTCTGCGTAATGGTGCTGTTAAATATTAATAGTATCGAAGTTCCATTACACGCGATTGTAAACGCGTCTTTCGCATTCGGCACTTGTGCATTATTGACGTAAATTTGAAATGGTATTACTTACGTAACGATAAGATAACGATATTTCGTCTGTAACGAGTTTCGTCAGCAACTAATGAAAAGCTCATAAGGGATCCTCCACTGAAACACTAACTTCTAATGTCGTAATTGTAAACAAGCAGAATATTGCGTAATCGAAAGATGCTATATTTATTTCACATCGTAAATATTCTAATATAAAGATAGCTGACGCAGGATACTGATAATTTCGCGAATATTAAAATTTGCTTACTGCTATCGATATATGTAGCTCTCTAGCGACAAACACATTGAAAATTTATTTTGCAGGTTAACCAATCAATCGCTATAAATCCATTCCACTGCGTTCTTTTTTTATCTACCTTGTTGCTTTCGTCTATTCTCAGTTTTGTGTGCCACATATGACGCGTGAAGGTTAGATACAATGGTACCTCTGTTACTCGAGCACTTTACTGTTTAAAAGACTTCTAGAAGTGTTATAAGAGCACATATTAATCTCTTCAAGACCGTATTAAACACAAATAGTCTCATGCAACCATAACATGGTCAACTTTTATCACGCAGAGTGAAAAAAAGTTACTTACTATCAAAATAATCACCTAACCTTACTTCAAAGAACAATATGCAAAGGGTTAAACCTCAAATTTTATCAGTGAAACGTCAGTCCTCCTAATTTTATCATTACAAAAAAGGAACACCACTAGAATCTCTTTGAAAGGAATCAACCTAATGACTAAGCATTAGACAAATAAAAAAAAGAAGTTCGTTCGTCAAAGATGCAAGTAGCGCAGGAAACTATTCGCGGCATCGTCGTCGTCGTCGTCGTGGTGTAGACGATTTCCACGCCGGAATAATCAAAGGTTCAGTCACGGATATATTTTGTATGGGCGACTGATTGCCGGGCAATGGCCAAAAATAAATCCCCGTTGCAGTCACCGAAGGACTCATGGCCTCATGGCGGAGCAGCCGCCGTTGCATCTGTCGCAATCGCAGGACAGGTCTTTCCAGGACTTTCCAGCGCGTTGCATTCCAGCCTCTTTAGAAAGGCCTCTCTCATTGATTTGCATTTTTGGCATAGTTGTGATAACATGGTTTACCGTTTGCTGGAGAGCGAGATGAAAGGCGAGAAATAACAAAGAGGGAAAAAAAAGAGATAAAGAAAGATAGATAGATAGATAGATAGATAGGCAGATAGAAAGAGAGCCAGAGAGTAACAAAGTTGGCGGCGCGCAGAGCTGAAAGTCACGGTGGTAAATCACTTATCATGAAACTCAAACCTTGTCGCTTCCTGTACTACTCACCGATCTCTTTCCTCCCTTTCTTCCTTACCTCCTTATTAGCAGGATACAACAGGGAAGTCCCGTTTCGTGCTCGAGCGGCCGTTTTGTTTTTAAGGTTATGTGCATTTACATATTTCCTAGATATACGAGACACAATCTGGTAAGAAGGAAGCGCTAATGGATCGAATCTATCGGAAACTGCTTATCGATACAGTGGCGCGTCGACTATGCTACTTCCTGCATTATCCACTGGCTTTCATGTTTTTTTTTCTTTTTCTAGTGACGTTAAAGTGGGAAGGAATACTTCAAGTGGTTAGTGATTACAAGCTCTGTTATAGAGTCAGTCTGAATTAAATTTCTTCGATCTACTTATCGACGTACTTACAATTCTCAAGTTCTAATTTAACAAGTACGTATACAATAATTATAGTTAATAATTATACAATAATTTAACGGTCATGGTAATACAAGCTTACATGCCATATAAGATATGCTTATTAAATGAAGGGTAATAAACAAAAACTCATCAAAATCATCAAAAGAATATTCAGGAATGTTCCAACGTTAAAATGAGCTACATCTACAGAACAACCATCTTCAGGAAAATTGCGTAACTTCACGTGGACAATTCGGCAGCATCAAGGGTGAATCCGGAGAGGTCTCGAATCGTCTTATTCCCATCGCTAGGTACGGTGCACGTTACAATGATGCGCAGACGTGTGGTAAGCAGGAAGTGGCATCCGGTCGGTACATCACGATACCCATTTCACACGTCGTTCTCTATTTCGCAGTGACCACCGGCCACGTTGTCTGCATGCCGTTCAATTGAACCGGCGGCATCTACGGGCAAATCGTCCGTCTCGTTATCGTTCCGTTAGAACTCCACGATGCCGGGTCCTCCATTGTAACGACAACCGCGACGCCTCGTCGCCCCCATCTTTGGAGTGTCGCGCGCCACCTGCCATGTGTTTTCCATTCATCGTTACGGATCTTCACTGAAGTTAGTCACAAATGCTAATAGCTAAGAGAAGTACACATTCTATTT